CTATAATCCCTTACTTGGGTCCTTGGAATCCTGATAAGGCAACATAGTCACCCAGGGAGCTGTTGTCGTCCTCCTCCGCCTCATCATCATCCAAGACACCGGAGCCAGACAAATTGCCAACCTCACCTAGGTTCAGGGTTTAGGGCTTGGGATTTGGAGGTCAAGGGATTTGGGGTTTAAGGGTTTAGGGATTTAGGGTTTAAGGTTTGGGGGTTAAGGGTTTAGGACTTATATTGGGGTTATAAAGGGATAAGAAAAAAGAAAATGTAAACTACCATAGTATAGTGGGGTTATATAGGGAGAATGGGAAAAGAAATGGAAGCTACTATTTCTAGGTTCCCCGGTAATCCGTTAATAATAAGGGTACCCTTTTTCCTACTGTTCAGCTTTAACCAGGAGACCCCCCCCAAAAAAAAGGAAAAGGTGTAAACCCGAAACCCTAAACCCCAAGTCACTGATGGACTCATTGTCCGAGATCTGGTAGGTGGTTGTTGTTGACGTGGTAGTAGTGAAGGTTGTCGTCGATGTGTGTGTCAACGTCGTTGTGCTGGAAATCGTGGTCGTCGTGGTGGTAAAGAATTCCAAAAACCTCAGCGACGCACCCAACCCGAAACCCTAAACCCTAATTAAGCAAGCAGCTTTCGGTCTCCCACCTTGAGAGTTTTTAGTCCCCCTTTAGTAGACAGAATATGGAGTATATGAGGATCTTATATACCCAAAGATATTCTGTCTACTTAAGGGGGACTATATCTCCTTGGTCGACAGCTCTACAGACATTCCGGGGAGTGGGGAGAGCTGCCCTACAAATACATAGCTTTATATATCTTTATCGTGGATAGTATTACAACTACGAATTTCTCAAAGCAAGACCTATGCAATCTATATGGGACCCGTATAACCTCCTCAGAATTATATTCCCCTGCTCTCTCTCTCTCTCTCTCTCTTCATGTATCTGTGTATGTATGTATGTATGTATGTATGTATGTACGTACATGTGTCCCCAAGTTCCCTAGCAGCACGCTTTTCTGAAAAGCTCTCATATAGGCTCTACATGAAGTAGAGTTCAGTTAACGGTCTCCGGAAGTGGACCCAGTTAAACAGCCAATACATATATATATATATATACACACACTACTACATGCACCCACTGAATCCTACAATAACACTCCTACCGTATAACCCTAAACCCTAAACTCTAAACCCTAAACAGGCCTCCCCGGGTTCCCTACA